AGGCTGTTATTGCAAAGATGACAAAGGGAAATGCTTCTGTCTGTTGCAACTTGTTCTGTCAGTCTCTAGTAAGCTGCTGTTCCCACGTTTACCTTGCTGGGTTGGGTTTCTGAAGGCAATTGTTTCATATCACCAAGTAGAAAGCACAGAAGGCAAATGTAGCTTAAGAGTGATTTCTGTGTTTTAAGTTAAATGTTAACCAGATTCAAACAAGTTCAAGAGCATTTCAAGTGAGGTTAACTTGTTGGGCTGGTGAACAAGAAAGAACTCAAGCAGAGAAGAATAGGCATGGGGATACTCTATTCAGAGGTACGTGGTCATTTTCTGCACAGTAACTGAAGCTATTGTAGCTGTGGATATGTGTTGGTTTTACTTTGTTTCCTTCACATCATGTACATGGGCTTAAAAATACAATTCGGGCTTAAAAATACAATTCTTTTCCTTTGGAACACTGTTCTTTAGCTATTACAAATTGACAGAAGTGCCATTTGTAGGAGCAAAGTAAAGCACAACAAGTATAGTTGCTGTGGCTTTGTAGACAAAGTTCGCGTTTGCTCAACATTTTTTGTTCTGTGTTGAGATCAGAGTGATTCTGAGCACTGTGTATGAATAACTAAGAACTCCAAGTGGACTCCTTAACTGGTGTCGAATACAGATAATAAAGCTGGTGCCTAAGGAAATATTATCCAGGGAAGCTTTGGTTTAGAAATGTGATTTAAAAGAAATTTTTTAGCTCTTATGAGTTTTTCCCCAGACTGTAATTAAGTCAGCACAACCATGGATTTCAACATAAATGCTTTGTAAGCATATTCATTATTTTATAAATTTTCCATTTGCACACTAGGGAACTAATGAAGATTTCATTTCTTTTTTGATTGTGAATACAATGTATAGCTCTGCTGCTTCTCTTCCTGGAGATAGCATTGCATATCTGTTCCTTTAAAAGGTCACTCTTTTAATTTTAAAAGGCTATTCAATGAAAATATCTTCTCTTTCAGTATTATAGGGAGCTTGAATCTGTGCATTCACACACTAATTAATGAGTAGACTGCATCACATTCTTTTTTGTCTCTCACCAGTTTGGCTACTCAGAGATAGTATTATACAAGAAACAGTCATCTAGTAGAATTAAAATGGTGTTTAGGGAATATTCAAATGCTATCCATGTTTTCTGTGCTTTCTAGTTGATCATTTCATATGCATTGGTTTCTTGTCTTAAAGTGTTTTTAGTGAGATGTAGTTTTCTTGGTAAGATAGTTTATTTACAGTTGTTAGAAATCTATAGAAGTGCAAATAAAGTGCAAGATTTATTTGCTGAGAAGTATGGGAGGGGTACTAGTACATTACCCAGCATCCCAGATATGTTTATATTTTCCCATTTAGGTTGTAGAAGGCCTTTGCATGAATTTTAGCACACAGAAAAAGACTGTGGATTGATTCAGAATATCTTTATAACATGAAGTATTCCTTTTTGTCTGAACAGTTGCAAATGTCTGATATAACTTTGGCTGTCCCTTGCAGTTCTCAAAAGAGAAGGCAATTTCCACTTGAAATTCTTGTTCCAGCTTTATCTTTAGCCTCCTCCCTAGTGGCTGAATGCTTTTGTGCCTTGAAACTTTATCATAGTATCTCAGAATCATTTGACTTGGAAAAGATCCTTAAAGGCCATTCAGTCCAACTCCTGTACAATGAGTAGGGACACCTACAGCTTGTTCAAGTTGCTCAAAGTCCCATCCAGCCTGACTTCGGATGTCTCCAGTGATGGGACACCTACTACCTCTCTGGGCAATCTGTTCCAATGCCTCACCACCCTCATTTTAACAAACTTTTATCTCATGTTTGGCAGAACTTGCTGAACTGCTAGCTGGTTTATTATTACTACTTTAGCAAATCTAAGCAAGGAATCACTAAAAACAAGTAGGAAAATTTAGTGTGCAATTCATCTGGATCTGAATAAACTACCAGATACTGGTTCCAGCCACATGGCCCGTAACTGATACCAAAAACAATCAGTTCTGTAGAGGTGTTGCCCTTCTATCTATCAGCTAATGTTTTTTACTTTCACTTCATATCTGGTGATCTTGCATTGAGTGATTTTAACCATGAGAACTGTTGCCTAACCTGTGTCCCTATTAGCGTGTGACTTGTGCAGTGTCACGCTGTTTGGTTCATGGTGTGCAGCATGTCTGCATGTTGTGTGGTTCTGCAGGAGTGTGAGGGAAGAGGTAAAGGGCTTTGCTACATTGGAAGAGGCACTCACTTTTTCTTTACCTAAGCTCAAGTTCTTGGTCCTTCTCCCCACCCTTCAGAGCCGTTTTTCTCAGAGCTCGTGTTTGTACTGGGGGTAATGCTACATCTCCTGTGCTCCACTGACGAGCAGGAGTAGGTCTGTTCAGAGTCTTCTGGTAGTGGTCAGGCTGCTGGTAGCTGGCAGGTGATGTGTAGGTAAGAGTCCACTCACCCATTTGCCTCCCACTTCTTCTTAGGTATTTATAAATGTTATTCAGATGTCCCCCTCAGTCATCATTTCCCCAGACCGAACAGACCCATGTTACCCAGCCTTTCCTCATGAGGAAGATGCTCCAGGCCCTTTATCATCTTTGCAGCTCTCCACTAGATTTCTTCTAGGAGATCCCTGCCTTTTGAACTGGCACACCCAGAAATGAGCACGGTACTTTAGATGTGGCCTCGCTAGGCCTGAGTAGATGGGGGGAATCACCTCCTTCACCCTGTTGGCTCTCTCTTTTTAATACGCCCCAGGATACCATCGGCCTTCTTGGCCACACTGCTGGCTCATGTTTGTCAGTTTTGGACATATATGTCAGAGCTATGGCCTTTTCACTTTTAATACATTTTCTTTGATTAAAATAGACATTTTCTAGGATGCAAACCTGCAGAATAAAAATGGGTCTTAAGAGAAGCCCACAAAACCTGTTTGTTGTGTGTGGTTTTTGTTTGGTGCTTTTTGTTTGTTTGTTTTAATGAATTGAATGCATTAATTTGTGAAAGAGTCAATTCTAAAAAGACACCCCACTTCACTGAAAAGGTAATCATTTAGAAGTTACTTTAAGTACTTAAATTACCCATATATTAGCTGGTGAAATGATTGGGAACGACTTCCTTAAATTATCTGTGCTTGAGATGTTTTGTTAGAACTGCCAATTTCAGAAGATAAAAGAGTGCGTGTAGCTCTTGCGTGCCTGTCTCTGTGGATGACTGCAGTTCCAAGTAATGTGCTCTGTTAGGGTGTATTCTTTTCTTCATCAGTATTCATGGTTCTAGAACTGGATTCAGCAGAAGTGTATGGTTTAGAAAAAGATTCTGTGGGTCAATGAAAACATCAGTCAAAAATACCTTGAAGTCAGTGGCTGAGCAAGTAAAACTCTGTGAGGCAGTGTGGAAAGAAAAACACTACAGTGTGTCATCTGATGACGTTGTCTGCTGGCATAGCAAGAATCAGAGTAGAAAGGAATAAGGTTGTGTAGTAAATGGCCGGGATTTGAGCCAGTGTTCAACCAAGCAGCAAATCTCCTGCATCTTTAAAGGAACAGAGCTGTATTTAAAAGCAAGAGTAACAGTCTACTGACACTGCACTGGAGCTTCTTTTCTGTGGATGTGAAGGTGTAGTCCTAGACACAGACATGACTGGAATGAGGTTGTTAGCCAAACTGATTAATTAAATGGCACAGATATACAAGGTTCTTACGCCAGTAGGCCATTTAAAAGAGGGATTTCTCCTCTAAATCATTAAAGCTGGTTTGTTTCTGAAAGAATGTGTAGCAAGTGTCGTAGGAATGGATTAAAAGAATATGGACAGACACAAGTTTATGTTGTTGCATGTGTTCTTTGTAAATTCTTGTCTGATACAATCAAAACAAACAAGAAGTGATACAAGGTCTGGCAAGCATGAAAGTACTTTCTCTACACTGGGAAATCATTTACCTGGTGCAGTTGTTCAGAAGACTAAGCAGCAATGATATTGGAGGCAAGCTTGTACTGTAGACAAATGTTTGAAGTAAAAATATGAATAAGAGGAATCTTTTTTTATGTGGAAAAAGCATAACAGCAGGAGAGGGTGAGTAGAGAGGGCTCAGAGTCCAGAGCTAGGTTTTGTAGCATGTTTAGGCTGTGATACAGAGAGGATCAGAATGAAAACCTGCAGGTACCAACTGAAGAAATACACTGTATTGGAAAAAGGCAAAGAACCTCAATATTGAAGAGGAAATAAGAAAGAAATCTTTTCTCTTTTTGACTGAAGAACTTCAAATGTTACAAGTTAGGCTGTTGTTTTCTACCGGCTGGTGACTAAAAGTGTATAGTACTCCTGTTTCTCTCTACCTGTGCTTATTCTGCCTAAAGGGGGAAGGAATAGCAGGTGTGGTCAAAGGAGCTTGAACATACTGAGCAAAGATGTGAGCAGCAAGCAGTTTTCAAAAGCCAAGCAGGATCTGAGCTGTGGCCATGCATGCACATATACTTTAGGTATCAGGTTTAACTTGAAGCCCACGAAAAGAAATGTGGCGTTTTCTTCTTCTTCTTCTTCTTTTTTTTTTTTTTTTTTTTTTTTTTCTTTTCTTTTCTTTTTTTTTTCATTTAAAAAAATACTTCTGGCTCAACTTTCACCAGCTATGTGGTTTTGCCCTGTGAATTGATGAGTCAGGAGTGATACCTCTTGTTCAAGCAGCGCCCATCTGAAGGGAAAGCTTGCTGTAAGCTTGGTTAGGTGTGGGCTTGTCAGGGCTTGCTTGCTTTCTGTGCCAAAATGAACAGAAAATTCATTCCTCTGTACGCGATCCGAGTCAGACTTCTCACGCTGAGGGCTGAGCTGCATGGCAGTGCAGGTGTATCTCTTACCGCCATCTTCTGGAAGACGCTGGAATGGCAGCCTCTGTCGGGGCTGCGTGGGAGGCTTTTGGGATGTGCGAGCAGAAAGTCAGGATGGACGGTACAGAGATGTTAGTGAATGCTGTGTGCTGACAAACATTCTCTTCTCTCTTCAGCCCATTTGTCAGGCAGCTTATAATAACGATTTCAATGAAGTTCAGCTCCTTTTGGATAAAAACAGCAACTACCTGAATATCCAGGACAGCTTCAGTGGAGATACCCCCTTAATCTGTGCATGCAAGCAGGGAAACAACAGAATAGCTAGCTATCTTCTTAAAAAGAATGCTGATGTCAACCTCAGAAACAAGGTAAGTGTTTACAGATTCAGCCTTTGCACTGGCTGCTCTTTTGAGTACATATTTGGGAACACTGGCAATACTGCTAAACCTTAGTTTTGTTTGCATGACATGTCTAATCCTGACATTGTTATTCAGTAAACCTTTATGTTTCTATTTATTTCCTCATCTATTTTCCTGACTTGACAATGGACACAAAATGTAATAAACATTGTCATTTTCAGTTTCTCTCTGTTTTTTTTTCCCATTCAGTCAATGCTGCATGTCATCCCAGTCCCCAGTGGATTCTGCCTGCATCACTCTGCGTTCATCCTGCCCTCCAGCTTATATCTGTCCTTTCTGTAGTGTTTCTTTTCCATCTGCCTTTATCTTCACCCTATAGTTAAAAGGAAGATCTGAAAGACAGCCTGTCCGTTCCTCCCATAAGGATCCCTGAGGAAACTAAACCTGAGGGCTGAAGGGAGAAGCCTTCTGTCTGTTCTTCCTCTAATCCATATTTTTTAAAAATCTGCCTGCCTTCTAGAATAGCCATGAGTGGTTATTTTCCCAAGGGTGATACAGAAGTGTGTTTGTGTGGCAGGTTTCCTGTAGATTACAAAGAAAAGGAGCCTGGAAGATGCATACTCTGGCTTCACTGTTAATTTTTTCTTGTGGGAGCTGGAATGATATTAAGGGTGATAAAGTGCTAGGAAAAATTATCTACACTTGTCAATTCTGTTCTATCATCTCAAACTCTAAGTCAATGTTTAGCAAGTTCCTACACATTCATGTGCTATTTTACACCTCTGGTGTCCAGCATGTTTTTTTTTTCACAGCAAATGTGTATGAGGTCAGTGGAATGTCCACTTCTATCTGCTCTGTTTGATCCAGAAGACAGTCTCACCTTGAAGTCCCTTTGAAATGGTTCAGTACTTTGCAGTAAGATCGTTCTTATTGCATTGGCAGCCATTTCTTAGCCTAGCCTGGTTTTCTTAAATTATTTTCTGCTTCACCTTCACAGATGGAATTAAGTCCTTGGGTACAGAGCTTGACTGATGCTCAGAACTGAGAATAGGAAGCAGAGGATTACACAGAAAGGCTTCTGAGCTTTTTTTGGGCCATGACATAACACCATAACCTGATTTGTCAGACTCCAGTTTAATGAGCTGTAGGACACTCATCTTCTTTAATGTCCAAGTTAACAGCTCTTCTCTTTTTCTTTGGTAGATACAATAGTCAAAGATTGTTAAACTCTTCTCACTAGGAGTCTGCTGTGGGTGTTGCTAATTTCCTGTTTCATATAGGTGACATCAGCTCTTCTATGTCTCTGCTTCAGTAATCAAAGTGAGGAGCAGCAAGGATTCTTCCTGCTGATTTAACTTGCTGGGTCAGGGTAGACTTCCACTCTGCCTTCTTTCTCTCAACATTTAAGTCTGCAGCCATATTCATGAAATCCCTTGGATCTCCCATTGTTCTTGCATGTGAAGCCTAGTTTCCCTGAGTCTGTATGAGACAAATGTGCACCCACTTGAAGGAGGCAAACTGCACGTGCCTGTTTCTGCTTGAAAATCAGAGAACTACTTCTAATCAATAACCTAAAAAAAAATGTTTGTGAAATACAGAAAGAATCTAGTATTGTCAATATTATACAAATATAATCAGAGAAGTGATTTTGATACTAATCAGAGTTATTTTATTTTATGTTTAGAAACACCGCACATGTCTGCATTATGCTGTCAGAAAACGGTTTACCTTCCTTGATTATGTGCTCATCATAATCCTCATGCCAGTTTTGCTTATTGGATATCTTCTCATGGTGAGTCTGGATGAAGGCAAAAAAGGCTTTACACATTTACTTCTCCTGTTATCACCTTTCTTATGGCGATATTTCAGGCCATAAAACTACACAGAACATGGCTGCTCTTTTTGAAGCAAACACTGATGGAGAGCAACAGAAGAAACAAGGTTTTTGCTATGAGCATAGCTGGTGAAGGGGCAGGATTGTGTCACTGCATCAGTCTGGTATTTACAGAAGTCAGACACTTCTTATTCAGAGAAAACAATATCTAACTAACATCTACTTAATAGTGTATGCAGGTGAAGTGTCTCACTGTGTAAATTTTCACTTCCACTAAACAGATCTCAAAGACGAAACAGAATGAAAACCTGGTCAAGATGTTGCTTTGGGCTGGAGCTGATGTTAATGCTACAGACTATGTAAGTGGATTTATATAAATGTAGCTGCGGCTTTTAAGCATGCTATATTAGTAAAAGCAGACTTCAGACTTCTAGCTATACAATACGGCTTTCGGAGTAGGATCATGAACTGATATAACAGGAAGATTTAGTTTTTATCCTTGACACTTTAGCAATATTTATGTAATGTACTCAGAAACAATTCTCCACTGACAGCTTAGTGTAATTTTTTGATCAAACTTGTTTTTCTTAGCTTCAGCAGTTGTTCCAAACTCAGCATCTAAAACCTAGCATGACACTGTTAGATGTGTGCTTTTACTTAGACCATTGTAAGTGATAATCAGCTTCTTGACTGCTGTGATGTGTACTACTGGAGGGAATGTTTCACTGGGTTTTTAACTTTATCCGGACCTTTCCAACCAAAGTCATGTTAAAAGCAAATGCAGGCCAGCTGAGTTGAAACACTGACGTATTAAATATTAATCCCATAAATATTCTGGTGATGATAGCTTCTGAGTTTGTCACCATTAGACTAAGGTTGACCTCTGGGCAAAGGTCATGCCTTAGCTCTGTACCCTGTGTCTTTTCTTGGTCTTTAAATTGTACTGATCTGCCATGTGTAGTGTTTGTGTTGACTATTTTCTTGGGTGTGGCAAAGAGCTCCAATGCACAAAAGGAGAAACTACAATATTAATGGCAACCAAATTCTAAAATACTTAAGTTTGAGCAAAGAATATGAATTAAGAAACAGTTATTGAGCTAGAGATCATGGAATCCCCTGAAGTAAGTGAAGAACTACTGGCTTCCCGCTAAAGATATCAGACTTTGTTTTAGCAGTTGCATCCCAGAAGAGGATTTTTTCCTGTTGCTACTATGACAATGTGGTTTACTGTGTTGTGCATTGGAACATGAGATTATATATTTTATTCATCCAATTGTTAGGGGGAAAATTACAAGATATAAGGGGATATTGCTAGCACTGCTTACCTAATTTCTGTTAAAGAAGGAATAAAGCTAAAATCCATCTACTACTGTTTCCCTTCAGTATGGTAGCACAGCCCTTCACTACGCTTGCAAAATGAGAAATCAGGCAGTCATTCCTCTACTGCTTGAAGCGCATGCAGATGTTTCTGTAAAGAACCAGGTAAGAAGGTAAAGCTTATAACTGGGTATCCTTGTCAGGAGGGTAAATCAATATGTTGTAGGCCTTAGATGGTATGTAGCAATTTAAAAAAAAACAAGAGTGCACAGCTTCCTGGCAGTAGACTTGTTTGCTGTGGGGTTTAAAGAAATATTTGCCCCATTTCCTTTATTGGCAACAGGAACTTTAAGTCCAGGTACTTCACACTGGATTTCTATCATCAGCAACAGTCTACACATTCACTAGACTGGCAAAACTGCTTAACTCAGAGCTATGCTATGGTTGTTCCTAAGATGCAGGATGCAGAGAAGTGCTAAGAGCCCTCCAAGGAGCTCTGTGTAGCACTAGACACCATTCTTCTGAAAGGGGCTAAGTCAAGCTTCTGCTGTCCTTTAAGAAGCTCAAATACTGTCACAAGAAATATCCAGGAATATCTGTACTGTTCGGTTGAGACAAATGAAGTTTTGACTGTGTTGCTCTTGAAGTTAGCTCTTAACTCTGCAATGTCTTTGGACATTATCCCCAGGGAATGGTGGATTGGCTGTTGCTACTGGAACAGAAGCAAGGATGCTACCCTTGACTTCAGTAAGAGTTTTGTTAGACCCAGCACATCCTGAAATCTTTTCTTTAGATCATGGGTGTGACAGTGAAATTCATGCAGAACACCAAGGACAGCAAGTTCAGGAAACTTCTTTGTACTTGACTTATATTTATCATATTCTGATGTACTTCATCTGTTTCTTTCAGGATGGGGAGACTCCTTTAGATATTGCAAGAAGACTACAGTTCAGCAACATTGAAAGCATGCTAAGGAAAACTTCCTAATGCTTGGTGGGACTTTATCAAGGACTGCTGAAAGTGCAGAAAATCACTCCATCAGGCAATATGTTCTATATAGCAGCAAGAGTCCTGCAGGGGGCTGCAGACTGATAATTGATAGATACTTGATCCAAATTGATGTAGGCTGTGACTATTTTGTATGAGACTTCTGAGTACCCTCAGATCTGTTTGGACTGAAAGGAGTTTATCTGCTTTTACTAAGCTGTGAATGAGTACAATTGCATTCAAAATATTGCTCTTCCCATCTGCTCCTCCAGTTTTACTGCTTAACTTGCAAGATAAGACTTCTGGAAACCTAAGCAGCATACGTGATGATAAGCAGCCAATGAAGAAATAAAATATCCTTTACAGTCTGTGTTACAGCTTCCTTAGGGGATACAACAGAAAAGTATACCACAGCAGCATATACAAGGTCGGGTACCTAATCTCTACGTATTTCTTTTCCTGCCATGGGAACGACTATTCAAATTGATTGCTCTGCTTAGCACTTCTTCCTTCTCTCCTACAAATTTCACCTACCTTCATTCTCAAGATGCTGCTATGAGAGAAGGATTATCTTATGTTCTTACATAAAAGAAGCATCAAGAAGAGATTGAATTATTGGAGTCCAGAAACAAAGACAGTTCCCAAGTTGCTTTAATGAATTAATAAATAACAATGGAAATCTGTTTAAAGCAAGTCTTTTGACTACTTTTCCAATATAAAAAAAATTACTAAAAAAAGTAAAACAGTGAAATGCTGTAATGATGGGAGCCAGATATATTATTCTTAGGAAACTGGACAGGATATTATGCTTTTAAGAGTGGTGCACACAGCAGAGAGTGCACGTACCGAAATAATAAGTTCATGAATCTTTTATTGCATAGGTAAAGACAGTAGAAAACTAGAAGTGGTAAGCAATTTGTTAGCTTGGTCTGCCACTTTGTGGTTTAATAATGCACTTATAAATGGGAGTCTGCTTTCTAACACTGCTGTGTCATGTTTCCTCTGTCTAATGGATCTTTATCTCTCTTAGCAGTTTTGACCATTTTGTGTAAGCTGTCATAAGTTTGGAAGATAGGTGCTATGATCAGCACTGCTAATGGCTGCTAGACTAGGTGCATAGACAAAGTTAGAGTATGTTTCCTGTGCTGCAGCAAAGCTGGCACATTTTTCTTTGTACCTATCTTATTGGATACTGACTCCAACTGCAGACAGTCTTGGCTGAACATATATTCAGGCTTTAGGTCCCTCCCAGAATCACCCCAGGAAACAAAGCTACCTGTCTGAACCTGTAGGGATGACCACTTTGTATGCAACATGAGGACAGGTACTCAATCAGATCAGCATGTATGTCAGTAGATGTGAAGTACTTGCACGGATGACATAGGTTGAAGATACTGTCTCTTTCAGCTAATGGCTTGGAAGGGAAAACAGTTGAATGCTTTCACATATTTCAGAAATTCCATGAACAAATTTTGGCCAAGAGACAAAATTATGTAAAATTCAAAGTCAATACCACAGTGCTTTCAACAACTTAATTGCATATATTAAGATTACTACATGGGGTGACAACTGTATTGGTTGGAGTGTGGCTTGCTTGATGTATCTACATCCTCTTATTCCTCATTTACAACCCCTGGTCATTGTAGCTGAGGTTTAGAGTGCATGAACAAATCTTTGGGTGATGTGTGGGCAAGGAGGGCAGGAGAATACTTGGATAAGTCCAAAAAACAAGGCTGAGATTGTCTTTGAAATTGAATTCCTTGGTATTTGGAAATCACTGATTGCCTGCTCCAGTTCCTGTCACTGAAGATTTCTTTCTCGTCATGGCAGTGTTAGTAAATTGAGGAGGGAAAAAGAAAAAAAGCCAAGTGCTCTGCCAGGTGGACAAAAGGTTCAGTTTAAACATAGGACAATGACACTGTGGAGTATGTAAGATATACAAGAGAATATATCATTTAGGCTTAGGAAAATCAGTATTATGTAAGTAAGAGCTGTCCAAATTAAGTTATCCTTGAAAAATGTGACCTAATGTATTTGTATTTTCAGTTTTTGTTCCCATATACTTTAATTTTCTTAGAAAGATACCAGTCAAAGTAACATCATGGAAAACCTCAAACTATGCAGAAAGCAAGAAATAAGCAAGTGCAGGTAAACATCTATACTAGAATTCTTTACTCTTATGTCTGTGTTTATCTTTTCCTCAGGTATCATCCTTCTTGCGAAATAAAAATTTTGGAGATTTTACTGAACGGATCAACACTGTGCATGTGGTTTCAAAGGTATTTTATTAGTAGTTCAATGATTTTCATATACATTTTCTCAGCTGCATCAAGGCCCCAAATAAAATCAAGATGTCCCCAGTCAGGAAAATGCTTATGATAACAGAGATTAGTAATCCGAGAAAGCAGCTTTGCCATGTCTTTGGAATCTGCAAATTTGTCTTGTCCACCACTCCAAATGGCAATGGGCGTGCTTATCTTCTCTATCTTGTATGCAGGAGGAGTAGACTGTAAGAAAGGGAGGACATCTGAGTGAATGCTGCTATATCAAAAGCTGTGTTTAGAAAAAGCATTCTGTGCAGAGGTTTGTTTCTCTTCTGCACTCACTACAGGAAAAGAGTAGGGATCAAATCCACTCTCTTAATGCATATTTCCCTAGTTCCAGTTCCTACATATCATGGAAGGGAATGATCCATCCTATTCTTAGACTCTTTCTGCAGTACGTGGCTATGAGTTGTCCTGAAATTTGACGTCTGCTTATTCTGATCATAGGTATGGATGTAGAAAGAGCAGTGTATCCATTTACCATGAAGAGGCTGTGGAACTTACTCATGTGTATACCTAGCATGGGAATCTCTTTAATTTTTTGCTGGAGCAAGAAGTGCATCTGTTGGTCTAAGCTGTTATATTTAGGGCTGAAGTAGCAATAATATAATTTGGCCATTTGTAATTTTGTGCAGAATTTTGCAGAATTAGGCAGAACTTTGCTGCTTTTCAACTGACATCTTTGCAGCTTTTCAATCTGTAAAAAGCAACCTGCTGTAGTACAGAACAGCAGACTCCAAGTAAAATGTGCTAATTAACAGTGAAATAATTGCCAACCATATGGAGAGGTCACGTATGGAAACTCTTCCCTAACTGAAAGGCAGGCTTTGAGGATTTTTTGGAGCTTCATACTCATCCAGTCCTAGGACTTAGCCATGGATCTTGGTCTGTTGAGTATGGCTGGTATATCAGCATATCAATGAATACATCCCTGCATCAGTAGGGAAAGAAAAACGAAGTTTTGTTAGCTGTCTGCAAGAAACTGTCTATGCTTTGTCTGTGAGTAATACAATTTTACATTAGTTAGGTTCAAGTTCAGATGAAACATTATCTCAGAACACCTTAGACATTCTGTACAGCTGAGGTCATGTGTGCTGAAGTGTTGTGTTCTTAGTTTTTGCCAAAACCCAAGAAGAAGTTCTCAGGAAAACCATATTGCCTTACCTGGTTGTATTTCTTCATATTCTCCTTCAAGCCATAGTCATAAGCCTGGAATTTGTCTGCATGAAATACCTGTGGATATTGAACAAGGACAGATAAAATGAAAATGTTAAGATACAGGGCAGATGCTGGTGGTATTTTCTTCCTGTGATTGAACACAAGAATCAGACAGTGCATTG